ATTAACATTAAATATTATATTTCTTATTACTGCTTTTAGCCTTGGCCAGCAGCAAAGCAGCCAAACACCAAGTGCCAAATGTCACCACAATGAGCCCCAGAGTATCCCCAGTGCCTGCAGGCGGATGAAGGCAGCAGCTCCCCTGAGCTGAGCACAGAAGGGGCAGGAGATGAGGCTGGTTTCTCTGAGTGGTTTTAGCTGTTAAATGTCATTTTTTCATTTGTATTTCTGTGGATTTTCTGCAGAGAAACATTTACACTTCTGATGTGCAGGGCTGCCAGCGCATCGGTGCCTGGGGGAGGTTGGGAGCTGTAATGGCTTTTACTCACGTACACCCTAAATGTGAGCCAGGCTTTGCCACTTTGGGACAGCTTGGCTCTTACAGCAACTGCTTAGGGAAGCTAAAAACCTCTCCTAAGCAGAGCTCTCATGCTCCCAGTTGACCCCAAGCCATCACAGGCACCTTCATCACCAGAGCAGCCAGCACTGAGAGAACCCAAACCCAGCCCCATGTGAAATTCAGAGTTCTAACCCCACTGGATCTCACCCCAAAGCTCGCTCCATAACCCACTACCACCACTGGATCACCTCGGTCTCACTGCGATCACTTGCTGCCTGCACCAAACCCAGCTTCTCAGTTAACCAAGCAGATTTCCCTGATTTCCCTCCAGCAGCTACAACGAAGCATCCTCCAGCTTCCTCCACGGCTGAACGAGTAATGACACAAACTCACCTTGCGCCTGCAAACGCATCAGCACTCACAGAGCTGTCACTCTTTGCCAGTTAAGCTCAAGTGTAATGAATGGTAAATCATAAATTCATGAGTGCATCCCCGTAGCACAAGCTGGTCTGGCTTTTTGAAAGGTTTCTAGCTTTTAAGTGCACCATCACCTCCTCCTCTTACAGCCTTCCTGTTTGTAGAAGTGCTCAAATTTAGCTGAAGCCAGAGCATGGGGTGTAATTACAGGTCCCAAAGCACAACTCTGTCCCCTCCTGACCACATCTGGGCTGAAGTCCTACAGCAAAAGGACTGAAATTCCCAGCTCAAGAAGCATTTCAGCCTAAATATTAGGGATGTTCCTAGAAATCCTGCGCAGTGCCCCACAACCAAACATAAACAGCATCCTCCAGTCAGCCTCACCGGGCACCCTGTGCCAACCACCTCTTCCATGAACTCCCATCTCCATCTACTCCTCCACAGTCCCACCTGGAAGCATTGCCCAGCCAGAAATCACTGCCCCATATTATTATGGCTCATAATTATATTATGAGCCATATTATTATTTGCCCATCTTAGTTGCCCCATCTCTCAGTGCAAGAGTGAAGCCAGGGCTTTGGGGGTGGTTTTCCGGCTGCCATCCTTGCCCTGGCCGTTAGGGAGAAGAAATCAAAGCTGGTACCTCCTGTGCGTGTTGCGGTTGCTGTTGACGTGACCCTGTCCTGTGCAGCCTGGCGTGGGGCATTTCAACACGTTCTCGTGCATCGCCAAGACTTGGGAGCGAGAAGGGGAAGGGGAGAGGGGAAGGGAAGCAAAAACAACTTGATAAAAATCAGAGGGAAGAAAAAAAAAAAAAAAGACAAAATCATCAAGTCTTGTTGCTTCTTAGCAATCAGGGAACGTGAAATGCTCTAGTTCAATTTGTCTGTGTGAAGAGTAAGAGATTTAGAAGGCAGCAGCGCTCAGGTCAGCACTAGATTAGCATCTCTGCACACAGCTTGTCCTTCCTTCTCCTTTGCCAAGTGGAATTTGGTTTCCCCCATCCCACCACCACCCTTTTGGAGCCAGATCTCCCAGTTTCAGGTGGCTTTAAGTGATTGAAACTGTCTCTCTGATTTATCCTTAGGACTTGTCTGCTTTTTGATTTATTTTTCTTTTTATTTTTAATCTTCAGGGTTATTGTTCCCTGCAGCACTGACCTTAAAAGTAAAGAAAATGCTTTGATTTGCAAGCTTTTCTAAAGCACACAGCTCGCGTTAGGGGTTTATTAATACCCTTTTCTTGCATTCAAGCTGTACTTCCTCCTTGTTTCCTGCAGTTGGGTGTTTATGGCAGGTCTGCAACCTTTGAAATTACTGATAAGGAAAGGCTCCTTTTTTTTCCTGTCTATTATGGCATTATCATAAACATACAACATTGATTTTTATGTATATGTACAGGGAAAGCTATTTCAGATGCTGGTAGAGAGGTAGAAATAAAATCTCTATGCATCTATATATATAAAAAGCTGTTATGATGATGATAAATATTTTCTGTGGAATAGATGAATCCTGGTGTAGCACATTGGGAGTTTTACAGTGATGAGAACATAGAAGGAGACTCAACTCTCCTCCACATCCTGAACTCCTCTTCTTTGCCATACAGCAGCACCTTCAGCACGGCTGGACAGCGAGAAAGAAGAGTTTCCTCTTTTCCCAATGTGGTATCCCAAACAGGGAAAAGTAAGTGGCATTCAGTGTAAAGATGGGAACTGCTTAGTACACCTCTGGATGTGGGCACACGTTTTAAAGCACCTCTTGGATTTTCAGAGAAGGCATCTCATTCTCCACAGGATGGTGCTAAAAATCTTTAAGAAGGGTAGGACTTTGTAGTGAACTCCACAGCCACCATATCCATATGGTGGATAGAAACATCCGGGAACAACTTGGAAAAGCACCATCCCATGCCAGAAACTCTGTTATACCCCAAGGATTAACAGCAGGCTTGCGCTGGGGACTCAGCCATACAATTCACATCATTTGGGACTATCTGAAGTACCCGTTGGCCTCAAGACAGCTCTACCCATCAGCTGAGAAATTCCCTCTAGGAATTAAGGCTTCAGACTAATTTAAGTACCACATATCCCTCCATGTACTCACTCTCGGGAGGGATCCTGTCTTTGTGCGGACAGCCAGAGAGGCTGCGGTGGTGAGGGTAGAGTCCCGTGACGTGGCCAGTCCCATCGCAGCCAGGAGTTGGACATTTGATTTCTCGCTTCTCAGGTCTTGAGGGATCTAGGGATTGTGGGAAAGGGCGGTGGGAAGCGGGGAGGGGGAGAGGTGGAAAGGAAAGAACTGCTGAGGGTGCTTCCCACCACTTTTCCAGTCAAACAGGGAGAAACTCTTCGCGTTTGGAAGGTTTCTTCCTGAAGGTGGATTTATAACACTGGAAGCTTCAGAAATTAATATCAGCAAAGCAATTTGAGTAATTAACCTGGCTCGAAGCATGGAGCTGCTCACAGAGATGAAGCAGGCAGCGCAGCTTTGCACCCAGGGGACTCTGCAGCTACTACCAAGTCCCTTGTGTTGCTGTGGCCATTCTCCTACCACTACTTTAAAACCCACTTGGATTTTAAACCAGCCTTTGAGGATCTGTGGCTAAATTCCCTCTGTGGGTTGTGAACCACCCCCCCACAGCCTAGTTGTCATGGGGTGCTGAGTGGACAAGTCCAGCTCTTTCACTAGGGATGGGCAGGAAGGAGGCACATGTCCCCATACCTTTGCCATAGTAGCTCTTTCGGATGCTGTCCAGTGGTTTGCTCTGCTTCTCATCCACCGGGAAGTGCTTCACGTGCTCCCCCGGCAGCCGACTGGGCTCCCGCACAATTTTCACCTGCTCGGCTTTCAGCGCAATGGCTTGTTCCAGCAGCCCCAGGTTCCCCCTGGTCATCATGTCGTACATCTCTGATTCATCGGTCACCGCGGATTTCTGGGATCGGGCATCATCGTCTTTGTCATCATCCGACCGGACCTCCACGATGACCGAGTACTCGGGCTTTGGGCTGAACTGCCCTTCACAGTGGCTTTTCTGGGTGTCCTGAGAAGTGTGAGGAGCTTCTTCACAAATCACCTCTGGAGCCATCTCCTCTTCCTCTTCATCCTCCTCTTCTTCTTCCTCTTCATCCTCCTCATCTTCATCCTCTTCTTCCTCCTCCTCATCTTCCTCCTCCTCGTCCTCATCCTCTTCTGCTTCAGTCTTCTGCAGTTTGCAGGACTCCTCGCAGCTCGCATCGTCCCGGTGCTCTGGACACAACTCGCTGCTGCGTTCGCTGGTGACCTCGATGACTTCCTCCGCATCCTCCGTCTGGATGATGATCTCCTTGTCGCACTCCTCCTCCACTAACTCCTCCTCCTCTCCTGCATCCTCATGGACCAGATGCACAACGTTGGATGGGGGCTTGGAGACCTGCAGCTCAGCCTCAGGCAGCTGCCCTTCAATGGCGAGGGTTTCCTCTGCTATTTGGCCTAGGTTTAGGAGAGAGTTGGCGATAATTTCTTGATAGCTGCTATAGTTGGCCTTGCTGGGTCCAGACGTACTTGTTGCTGTGTTCTGTCCATAATGGGTTGATTTTGTTGGGCTTCTCTCTGAAGAAGGCAGGGAAAAAAAGAAAGAAAAAGGGAGGAAAAGGGAAAAAAAAAAAAAAAAAAAAGGAGGAAGTGGAAAAGGAAGAAAGGGAGGAAAAGGTAGAAAAAGGAAAAATAAAAAAAGGAAAAAATAAGGAAAAATAAATGAAAAAATGAAAAGAAAAGGAAAAAAGAGTAAAAGAAAAAAGGAAAAAGGAAAAGGAAAAAGGAGGAAAAGAGATTAATTATATAAGCTCATAAACATCTCTTTGTCTTACTTAAGCTTAATTGAAACCGGAGCCTGGCTGTTATACTCCTGAAGCAGCCTAATTTATTGCATTAGTGGATGGCAGGTAGAAAGGGGATTTCCATGTGGAAGCTTTTGTAGAGCTCAGAAGCACGCAGTTTCCCAACCCCCCATTGTCAGCAGGCATCCAGCCCCCTCGCTCCCAGTGCTTCCCAAACCAGGGGCTCCAAACTGGGACCCCAGCTGGATCCCTGGCTCATTTGCCTGTCACTTCTCCTCTGGGATAGCAGCCGGATCCATTGGGATTGCTCGCAGAACAGGGAAGCCAGCCGAGCCCCTCGAGGCACCACTGCAGGACCCTGACTGCCTTCCCCGCTGCATCTGAGCCGTGCAGTGAGCCCCTTTGTGCTTTCCATGGGTCCTTCCCCAAGGAGCATCCCTGATGGAAAAGCTCTCAGTGTGAAAACACTGGGGACACTCTGTGCATATCATATCCTGTCAGCTTAACAAGAGCTTTGCCATTGTGCTTCCACCAAACGTAACTGAAGGACCCATCATGTACATAATACAGAGGAGCCGTAACTCCTGGTTAACAACTCCCTGCCCTTCATTCATCTGCAGAACACAACGCTGCAATCAGTAAGGAATGATAAAACACCTTCTGAGGGCTCGGGGCTGTGGGTCTCCTCCTGCTCCACCGCCTCTGCCTCATCCTCCTCCAGCGTCCCCTCCGACTCGTCAGAGCCGGACTCCTCCTTCGCCTCAGCCTCCTCGCTGCCATCGCTGTCGACGTTGTAGCCTTCATCCAAGGCCAGCTTGAGCGGATGGGATTTTCTCTTCGACACCAGATGTTCGGCCTCCGCATCCTGAAGTTTCCTCTTCTTTGCTAGAGGGCAGCTTTGTAAACTGCAGATGGGATCAAGGAGCAGAGAGGAGGCAGTGCCGAGTGAGAAAGACATGGCTATAGCATCTGAACCAGTTTGGCAAAGGCAAGGGGGACAAATACCCACTAAAAATACCAGCTCATTCAGCAGCCCAGGCTTTTATCTGGTTTAACTCTTCATGACCAGAAGATCTGCTCTCAGACCTTGACTTTGTGCAACTGTGTCAACTTTTCTCAGTGCAAGGATGCTGGGCTCGCTCCAACAGTCTGGCCCTTGGCCATTTGTCCTGGGAGCAGCAGGACCAACAGCTCCCAGCACCACTATGAAACCAGGCTGGGTTTCTAGGTCACATCTACCAACTGCTCTGATTTCACCATTATAGGGTGATGACAACATCAGTTAAGGCTAGCATGACCAAGGCAGACAACACACTCTCATTTCCCCTCCCCATCCACAGAGGCACCAAACAGACAAAAATCTCTGCCTGCCAACAGCTCCCATCAACCTCAGGTGCCTGAAGCAGATACTTCTGCCTAGTTTTGGGGTCCGTGGGAAGGCCACTGTCAGCCTGGAGAAGCAGATCCCCCAGGATCCCTCACAAACTGACGGAGAGACTGAAATAGGCTCTTTGGTGGACAGATCTGGGGCAGGTGAGTGAGGTTGCTTCTGTGAACCAGCCTCTCCCCAGTGAACGCCTGTCTTTTGGTTTCTTGCTTGCATTTTACCATCCTCATTACCTCCAACCCGTGCTCACCTTCTATGTCTTGCATACTTTCCACGGATGTGTCCTGAGCCGTTACAGCCTGGGGTTGGACAGCTTGAGAGGGAAACAAGCAACCATCAGGAGCAGCAATAGCACTCCGAGAATTCAGTTTTAATTAGAAGTATATAGACTGTAGTGAGTTAAACAGATCCTGTGCCCGAGGAACAAAATACCCACAAAAGGGTAGATAATTCCCCTCAACTGGTTCAGCTTGGCCCTTTGAATTCCAAGCGAGGAGGGCAGGAGAGCAGCCATGCAGTTTGCTAAAAATTAATGAAATTACTCACCCCATTTAATTAAATGAACGGTTCATTATAGTTTTATGAGTATGTTTAATTAAAGATTTGCATGTGTAAGAGCAAGGTTTTAAAAAGCAGACAACCACTGCACTCTGCCTCCCGCTCCCACTCCTCAGCTTCCTTTCTCTCTGGTGCGGGAGGAAAACATGGGCTTTTCACCTATTTAACGGCTTGTCAAGGAACTTGGGGTCCTTGCAGCAAGAAATGGGTGGCTTTATGGAAAGAGCAGGCTGGGAATAGAGCAAGATTTTAGCCAGGGCACGTTGTGGGGAGATCACCAGGACAAAAGTCCTCAGAAGCACCTCGGAGCCTTGCTTTTAGGGGGATGGATGGGATTTAAGTGACCAGCTCTCCCAAATCCCCACATTTGTTCCTGCTGCTTTGCAGGAGAGGGTGAGTTAAAGACTTCCAGGGGGCTCTGAGCAGCACTCACAGCCTCTGCTGCCTTTGCCATAAGCCACTCACTGCATCCCTCAGCGCATCCCTGGCAGGGGTATAATTAGTCCCAGCTCCAGGAGCTATAAGAGCTCCAGCTAAGAAGCATTAAAGCAAACATTTTCTGGCAAAACCAGATTATGGCATTGATTATAGGATGCCCAAGTGATTTGCCTGACGTCTGAAGGATTCTGGAGCCGTGTACGATTAATAACCTCATTTAGCACCGTATCACCCTCGGCCCGGGAAGTTGTAAGCGCTAATGAAATCTTTTGATGACGGTGCAAAGGGAGAAGACATCACCAGCCCAGAGGGGGATCTGCCCAGCCTGTTATTCCTGGAGTAAAAGACACAGGACAACATTAAATAGGACCAAGTGCCAAGTCAGGCTTTAGGGGCTCAGAATTCCTGCTCTCAGCAGAGAGCTCAGCCCTTGCAGACAGCGATGGGTAAGGAGGATCTGAGTGCACTAATGGATGCAGCAGCTCCGGGTGCACCGGTGGGTTATTAATGACTTGACTCCCTAGAACACTGCACAAGTCACATCACTGTGTTCAAAAGAACAGAATTCAACCCCAAACTGTGATGGGAAAGGGCTACTGAGCTGTCAGGAGAGGAGGAGTCTGGCCTTCAGGGAGACCAGATTGCTTTAGCTTAGCAAAGCAACCTGCTCTAGTGGAAGGTGTCCCTGCCTATGGCAGGGGGTTGGAGCTAGATGAACTTTAAGGTCCCTTCCAACCCAAACCAGCCTATGATTCTAATGCTAACAGGGCAAATGATGGCAGTACCTCCCTGAGGGGGACAAAGCTTTTTCTAAGAGCCATGGGTGTGAGCAGCACCTCGTAGCCCCTTCAAAATGATGTCCCCCTTTCACTCATGGCCAGCCTTCAACCCTAGATGCTGAGCATCCTCCAACATCATCACTTGGGTGATGGTTCCCTGCTCATCCCGCTAAATCACATAATTGGAAAAGGGAGCTCCCCCCTTCACTGCTCCCTCTGCTGATGATCTGAAAGTCTATTTAATTCTAATTGCCCTCAGTCATGACTGAAGCTCTGTCCTCAGCAGCCCCAGACACACTTTGAAGTGACTGCATGCCAAAAGACAGAGCAGTGTTTATGTTACCAGTGACTTGCCTGAAAAAGCCCTTATTGAGTGGGAAACAAGAGCAGCTCTGATGAAGATCAGATATTTGATGTGGTGAAATGAAGCCTGCAGTGAAAAGTAAGTAGGAAAGAGCCAAGTGGTTCAGTGTCGAGGTTTTCTGAAGCAGGTGGCGATTTGGGGTGTCTGTGGCTTTGGTGTGTTAATTTAACCCTTTTAAAAAGCACCAGCACAGAGGTGATGCTCTGCATGCTCTGGGCTGGGCTTTCCCATCCCTGTTCTCCTCTGTGGAGGTTTCACGTATTTTGGCAGGCGTCCCAACAGAGGAAAAGGGCTTTGAGGTCTATGAAATCTCCTCTCCTTCCCCACCAGAGCCACCCCACAGACCTGCTCTCCCCCTCTCCCCAGCCTGACAAAAGGACCTCTTATTGTCATGCAGACGATGCCCTGCTTCCAATTAGTCGATTAATCGTCCAGTTATTCAGGCAATTAGGTGACAGCTGCAGAGATGGCTTTGTGGAGCACTCTGTCCTACCCCTTATATATGTCACCTGCTCCAATTACCACCTCCACTCGAGTGTTCAGCAATAAAAGTTGGAGAAGTGGCTGTTCACCACCCGCTCCTCCCGTCTCTCCAGAGTAATAGGAGAGAGGAGCAGCAGAAATGCTCTCAAATTGGGCTGGTTAAGGTCCAATTACTCTTTGACACATACGGCTTTCTAACAGAGGCTGCCAGGAGAGGCAGCCCCTGCTATTAGTGCTTGTCCAGGTTAAAGACTCCTACCTCTTGCGTAAGCCCTTGTGCAGGGTTTAATGGGAGCTTAGAGTTGGGGGAGGCTGTTATTTCTAATGAGAAGCTCTGTAGGGCTGCAGAGACTTGCTCCTGCTCTTTTGGCTGCTGCTGTTGGCATGCCAGTGCTGCTACACCAGTGACAACAGGACCGCAGTGATTCAAGAGGGGACACAGGGCCAAAGGAGAAGCATCTGGCATGAGAAGCGATGTGGCTCAAGGTTGTCTGGGGGCAATTAGAGGAGGTATTATACATGGAAAAGAAACTCTGGTTAGTAGGATGCTGTCTCTAATGATCCTGCGACACAGAATGTGGGTATTAGGTTTTGCTGGGGTTTAGGACAGAGTATGGCTGAAGGGTCTTCAGTCTAATGTGACCCATCCAGAGCTCATGTTTTCATCCTGTGGTTCCTCTGATGTGTGTTGTCAAGTGGTGCCCTGAGAACTTAGGCACAAGGAGGTGCCCACCAATATCAGCTCCCCAGCAAGACCTCCACCCCCTTAGTCCCGTGGGTTCACTCCCCTCACCCAGGTTCCCAGCACAGGGCCTCCCTTCTCATCACCAAGGAGGAGCAGGGTCCTTACCTCACCTCCTGGCCGATGAGCTCCGTGGGCACTGGGGCAGGATGCAGCAATGGAAACAAACACAAGGTCAAAAACACAACAGGGGTGCCCACATCCCCCCCTGAGACATCCCCTTTCTCTGGGGGGATCCTCTCCTGCCTGCAGCTGGGTTTCCATCTCCTCCGTAGGCATCCCATTTGGGAAAGAGAGGACAAATCTGTCCTACCATCATGTACTGCATGCCAGCCTGTAGTAAATCATAATCCTGCCTTGTAAATCCTGTGCTTAATTTCAAGCACCTGAGTGTATGTTTGTAACATCAGGGACTGCCCCGTCTCTAAATACATGATGGGTTTGAAGTCAATGGAGCTGTACTGATATACATGCATGTAACTCAAATACTTTCAAGTAAAGACAGAGTTTCTCATGCCTTCTTCTCTATGCTTGCCTTTAAAATATGCTTCTCCATTACTTCTTGCATGGTTCACAACTGTTTTGCTGCACTGGCCACATTTACCTCCAGACCATCAACAGGCACAGCTACATTTCTCTTGTCATCCCAGACTGATGTGGGAGCCCCTTGGCTATGCTCAGACACGTGGTAGGGAATGTGTTATTTTAGGGTGAACAACAGTTTGTAGGGGCTTTAGAGGTTATTCCTCACTTGTGAATAAGAGAACTTCTCACTGCTTGCAATAACAACATCTCATCGCTGCTGAAACCTTACATCCAGCCAGGAATCTAAATAACCAGGAGTTAAAGAGCCCCAAAACACACGTCTACATTTGCCCAGGCTGAAAACCACAACACGTTTGCTCAATTTGTTTGAGCTAATTGGGTTTCCTGGGATCCAGCTCCCGGTGGGATGACTCACAAGCCTCAACAAACTGGAGGCAGCAGCAAGTCCCAGGGTGAGTGCAATAAATCACCTTTTCACATCAAGAAACCCAGATTCAAGTGTGGGGAAGGCAGGGTGCAAGGAAATAAATAGGATCAGAGCACTCTCATTAGCAACCTCAGCCAGCACCTTTAGGTACATGCAACAAAGCAATGAAACCCACATAGGCAAGCTCTATTCAACACAACTGACAGCATCTGGGTTTGATTTTGTTTGTAAAAGGATGCAGATGCTGAGAAGAGCAAGGAGGAATTTCAGCCAGCTCCATCCAGCAATTCATTGAATCCATGGCCACAAAAAGGAACCGAACTGGAGAGGCTGGTCTGTAACCATCACACATGCTATGGGATGACTCGAGGTACCACCCCGTGCTCTGTATCAGAGCATTTCCCCTTCTCCCAAAGACCTGCACATGAAGAGCAATCAAGCCTTGCATTAACAAGCCGTTTGTCCTCACATCCCTGCCAGGGACGGCCTGTTTCCCTCTCCAGCATGCACTACTTCTGCCAGGTGCTCTCAGATGTGCAACTTCAAAGCCACTGGCAGAGTGTGCATGATGAAAGCCCCAGGAGCTGATCTGAAGCTCCCGTGATTGTGATTCCCCCTCAAGAACAGCATGCAAAGGGGCTTTTTAATGTTGTTACTTCTCCTGCATGTAGGGGATGGGGGATTAAACACCATGAAAACCTGTAAAGGTTTCTGGCTGGGAGTTTTCCAGGCTTGTAGGCAAATTTTGGTGGGGTTGGAGAAGGGGGCAGTGAGAATAACTTAGCATTAAGCCTGGATTTGAAGAATCAAAGCTTGTTTGGAACAAGCAAAGTGCAGGGAACTCAAGTCTCTACATCCCCGTGCTGCAGGATACCCAGCTGCTTACCTCTGATAGACTTGGATCGCGTGCGTGCTCTCTTATCGTCATTTTCTAAACTCATCTGGAATGGAAAGGAAAGATACTTGTTGAAAGACAAGAAAGTTATCGTTCAGGGACACTCACGTGTGGTTGTTGCTCTGTGTAAATACCTGGACCACAGGGAAAGCTTTCTCATTTTTTGAGACGTTTTGTGCACTGATTTCGTTGTTCAACCCACACTACTCAGATTGAGTAACCTCAAATTAACTTCCACATCCTGGGACACGACAAGAACTCTGCCTGTTGGGTACCAGAAAAGGACAAACATCCCAATGTGATGGCCTATAACAGAAAACAGCTGTGTCTGAGACATCATTTGTTAAGGGCAGAACTGATTTCTCTGTATTTATATACGGAAGTGCTGCCAGCACCCAGGTGAATAGCCAGCACATACACAGAAATCTCTGAACATGCAGCTGAGCTGATCTCATGCCCAGGAAGGGCAACTTTACATGTAGTGCCCTAAAGAGCAACTTCTCCTCTCTGCTTAAATCTGACACAAAGAGGGTTGCATCTAAATGACCTCTGGAATGTGGACATCAAACAGGAGGGTCTGCAGGGAATACGGGCATGAATAAGTAACATCAGGGACTTCAAAGTGCTTCATATTAATTAAACATCACAACATGCCACAAGGTAGCATAAGGCTGAAGTGCAGCCACCTCTGGGGTGCAGTGCTGTCAGGGGAGCTTTGAAATCAGGCTGTGCCTGAGGTGGGAGCAGCAATAGCTGGGGACCTCCACGGCAGGGCCAAAGCCAGAGTAACAGAGATGCTGAAGTGGTCAAAGAGCTGGTTTTATGTCTCACCCTTGATGCAGATGTTCTCTGCAGGCAGGTGAATTTGGCAGCAAACGCCAAGAGGGTGCACAAGGAGGTGAACCCCTGGTAGTTTGGGGACAAGACAATTCGGGTTTTATTGCAGCATTGCCATCTGGGACATTATGAGGGAGAAAAGGGGAGAAAGGACTATGTGACATAATAAAAACAACTTCGCTTTGGAGCATCCTCTACAAGGCCCAGCTGGAGAGGGATGCAGCCAGCTCCTGTGCCAGCCCAAATGAGGATGCTCCATAGCTGACCCTCCAGAACATTGACAGAGGGGGACACAAGCAACTGCTACCCCAGTTGAGGACAAGGGACACACATGCTGAGCATGTGCTGCTCCACTGGTGATGGGGATGAGGCACACATGATACACACCACCACATCCCCACATGTGCCTTGAAAGTGGATGGATGCTGTTTGCAGTCACCAGCAGAAAAGACTGAGCATCCTCACCCGTCACCCTCAAAGTGTGTGGTGCTTGTTTGGGCCTCAACTGTCCCCCCTGATATTTGGGGGCAGCAAAGGGGGAACGAGACTGCTGGGCAGTCAGGGAGAGAGGACACCTCAAAGGTGAGGGATAAAAGTGCCCCAGGTGCCTCTCTCCAGAAATGCAGCATTAACACACAGTGATTTATGCGAGTTGTTAGATGGGGAGATTGAAGAGGGGGGTTGAAAAGGGGGGGGTGGTGTATCAAAACCCGGAGCAATTTATGCATCCTGTCAGCATTCAGCTCGTGGCGCCGCAGTGTTGTGCTCCACGCTTATTACAATCTTCCCAATAACACAGCAGACAATTACTATAATTTGTATTTTTAAAGCCCCAGTTCCCTGCGGGCCAATGGCTCACGTTTAAAGTGTGGAGAGGAGCAGGTGTCAAAGGGACTTCATTACATTTACGAGCCTTTCAACGTCGGCGCGCGCTGAGCGAGGTAGCTAATGCCACCGCTGCACACCGGCGGTCCCACTGATCCGTTTGATTGCTGGGAGCCTGCCTCCAACCAGAAGGGATTTCAGAGAAAGCTTTCTCTTTTGACAGCTTTCCCAGGGAATTGGCACGTGTTGGGCTGCTGCCTTGGCAATCCGGGGTTTCTGCAGGGGAATTAGGCAGAGGCAGAAGAGGGCAGGCTGCGGGAAGTGTAATGGGCACTGCCTGCGACATGCCAGCTCTGGCCACAAAAGAGAGAGGAAAGGCTGAGATCCTGCAGGGGTAGTGCAGGGAAAAGCAGAGTAAAACTTACTTAAACCTGCCCCTCCAAGACTGGAAGGTGGGAAGGGCTTAGCTGCTTGTCTGTAAATAGGGGAGATCTCATTTCATGTCACGTTTGTCTTTAGAAGAATTAAGTATCACCTCCAGGCTCCTCACTAACCTCACAACATCCCATAAGGCAATTCTTCCCATTGCCTTCAAAGCCACTTTCAAACAAGCATCAAACACATGGGGAAGACAGGAGCACTCTCAGTCACTATGTGGCCAAGGGAACAGGAGCCACCTAAAAAGACAGGGATGGACCCAACCTTACTGAGGACCAAAGGACAGAAAAGCCAAATAAACTGCCCAAAGCAGCCTTTAAAGAAAAAAACAAGCAGAAAAATTAATTACTGTGGTGTTTCCCCCATAGGAACACCCCATAACTTGGTTTGAGAACTTGACACAGCCCCACCACTGTGTATTGACATTTCACTTACAGCACCGGAGCGATGGGGTGTGCTCAGCACTCCCAGACTCTGTTTTCCACCATCAGGCTCCTTTCCCCAGCTTAAACCAACAGCAGCAGCATCCTCTAAATAAATAAATAAATCTTCCATTTCCCACCAAAGTGCAAAAACACCAAGGAAAAAAAAAGATCCATTTCTGAGCTCAGGCCCTGCTCCTCCCAGGCAACTTAAATTAACTGACATGGCCATTACCGCGCTTCTGGAGCCTCTGTGGTTATCGGGCTCGGATGCATGAAGGTTACATGAAACCACTGTCCTTTATTGTTTGCCTCCTCAGCGAGGAGCCCTCTAGACAGATCGTTTTAATGCGAAATTTCAGGTCACACAGTGCATGTTTGCAGTCTCGGAGACTGACAGGGTATTTTCATTTGTTCTCTCTCTCGCTCGCATAATAGCCAGGCTGAGAAGCTATCTGGATTTCACTCTTATTATTTTAACTCTGAATGGAAAACAAAGCAATCTGAAAGGAAACCTGCAAAGAAATTATTGCTACCACATGCCAACCTCAGAGTGTGTTAGCTCAGCTAGAAGAGACAGATTTATTCTGCTCCTCCTCCACCTTATCACGGGATTATCTGAAACAAAACAACCACCTAACAGGTTTCCTAACCCAACATCACAGGACAATGCAGGGGAAAGGACTCTGTGCTGTGTCTTAGGGTCCTTGCTTCAGGATTCAGCTCAGTGGTCTGACGCTGACACTAGGGATAACCTTGAGAACATCACTTCATCTCTCGGTGCCTCTTTTTTCCCCCGGCCTCTTCTCTCTAAAGGTGCCTGCTCGCAGGAGCTGTTTCTCACCATGTGTTTGCTCTGCACTAAGGAGCTTCCTGACACAACCGTAATACAAGCTTTGCTGATGACGTCCCAGAGCTGCAAATCTAAATCAGCGAGGTTCAGACAGATAAACTCAAAACCCAGTTTAACCTGAGCACAATGTGAATTTTAACAGCCTGCTTCTACAGCAAACGTCTTGCTCTGCTGCCACAACTACAGCAATACAGCGTGGGAACAGCAGCGCGGCTCTGAAGTTTAATTTCATGGAGTACCTACAGGCTTGATATTTTCTTCTGCTTTCTTATCTTAATACACATTTCCTTGCCAATGGAAAACCGAGGTGCTAATATAAAACCATTGGAGCCTTCCATGCATTGATGCCCAGGTGTGCCTGGGCTTAGATAGCTCTATGCAAATATACCATTAAGGGCCGTGCTGAAATTCCCCACGGTCAGCGGTAATACTTTATATGTATTCAGGAGCACCACGGAGCTCAGAGAAGATAAACACACTGAAAAAGCCTTCAGCTGGACAAAGGGAGGTGAGGAATCAGCAGG